ATTGCTTAAATCACCCAGAATCACCTCACCAATTATATAACGTGAATCACTTTTTAAATCCGAAGTTTGTAAAAAGTAGGCAGTAAACTTGACGGAATTTGAAGGCTAGCTTCCGGATTTGTTATTTCCGAATTTTATAATGTGATTGGCATTAAAAACACGCTCACCTTCAACGAAATTTCCTTTCCGAGGATTTGTGTCAGTCCAATCACATATTGTGTCAATACTTATAATTTTGTCGTAAGTTAAAAACTTGGAAATTGCACGGTACACTATAGGAACTACGATAAATTTTCCCTAATCGGCGTCATGTTTTTAGGCTCCTCCCATTTGACGGATCCCAATAGCTGTGGTTACAGTATTAGTGTGAAAATTCATCTTCAATTTTCCATCCACTATAAACTACCTCAGGTTAAAGAGGGAAAATTTGTTGCTGATTTAATGTGTTCAGGGGTTGTCTATTTAAGATTTCCCCTCTCGATAATAATCTAAACAAAACAAAAATATATTTAGTATCAGCATTACACCCGTGCGAAGCTGGGGCGGGTCGCTAGTTTATAATATTACGAATTACGAATAAAATATATGTATATAGGTATAACTAATGAGTACAGAAAGTTTTCTTTTACTAAAGAAACTTTCGATATTACAGACGCTGATAATTGGCCCTAATCCTGCCGAGTCCTTCTATTATTTGAGGATCGATATTTTAAGAGTAACGTACCAGTATCTGTGTAAATCGGTCTATTTCTACCTTCTTGTTAGTTTCATTAGATAAATGGAATACCTTTTGATTAAAGTTTCACGTTCGTGGTATATGTATATTACTTGAAATACGTTACCTTTACATTGGGGAGAAGAGATGAAAAATGAATAGATTTTAAATTTAAGATATTGAAATCAGTGGCGTACAATGGAGGGGTAGAGCAGAGGGTGTTATGGCCCCAGGCGGCGCAAAAATGTTTTCTTCGTTATTACATGGAGCGCAGTAATAATTTGTAGCACGTACCAAGACATTGTCGTCATGGTGTGGAAAAACCAATTTTTAAATCTTACGAAAATTGTCGAAATAAGATACACTATGCCCCTGAACGATTAATTTAGAAATTCGAAAAAGGTTGTTAAAGGTATATGTTTGGAGCGCGGCGTTGTACTGGTGCGAAACCTAGACAGTGGGTGCGGTGGAAAAGAAAAGGTTAGAAGCGTTCGAAATGTGGTGTTACAGGCGAATGATGAAGATACCGTGGATAGAGAAGGTTAGAAATGAAGAGGTATTAGAAAGAGTATGAGAACAGAGGACTCTATGAGAGTCAATAAGAAATAGGCGAGATAGGTTGGTAGGACACCTTCTCATGCATGAAGGTCTAGTCAGAGACATATTAGAGGCAGAAACAGGAGTTAGGACGGGTAGAGGTAGACCTAGATTAGATTACTGTTCGCAAATAGTTAAGGATGTGGGCTGTTCTAGTTTTAGGG